GGCGCCTGCGCGTCCACGTCGCTGGCGCCACGGACGTGCCGCTGCACGACGCCGACAGGGAGCGCGACTCCATCAAGCCCTACCTGACGTGTACGCTCTACAGCCCGCTCGCCGCCGACGACGCCAACAACGGCGAGGGCGAGCCCGCCAAGCGCAAGACGGCGCCCTACCGCCACCACAAGCTGGGCTTCCTGCACCGCGGCGAGAACCCGCACGCCACCGACCCCGTCTGGGACGAGACGCTCGAGTGGGAGTACGAGGACAACGAGCTGGTCTTTCTGCGCATGCTCATCAAGAGCGACGACAGCTTTGCCCGGAACCCAAAGTTCGCCGTCCTGGCGGTCAGGCTGGCGTATGCGGAGCCGGGGTGGACGTTTCTGCGCATGATGGATCTCAAGGGCAAGGAGACGGATTGCACGCTGCTCGTCAAGTTTGAGTTTGAGGATCTGTGAGCTATGCACGACTTGATGGGTGCTGTGTACAGTATGAGAGGAAGCAGATGTATGTGATATACCCACGGACTGTAGCAAAGGAAAACCAACCGGTAGACGAGACAACCGTCTAATATGTCTCATTTGAAGACGCCTTACATAGTCCATGGACCTCCCGTCTTCATCCTGGTGCCGCTATAGTCTCTCAACGAGGCCTCGTCTCGTATCTCGCAGGCCAGCAACAGCAGAAAAACTGACAAGTCTCATTCTTCGTCAAATACTTTGATCAAATCTCACAAACACGCCCCCCCATCTTGACAACTTCTCGAGATGATACGAAGTACACATACAAGCCCCCACCCCGGGGTGACAGAGACCAGGATTCCCCAGATCGAGACTCGATATCAACCCAACAATACGAGGTTGGGCTAAATGCTGCAAAGAGGGGAGACCGGCACCTGTCCCGGGGATGTTGGAAGACGGATAATTCAGCCGCGAGGAGGATGCCGGCTAGCCCATACCGACGTTGCCTGGGAGTGCACGTAAGCTGTCAAGCCGTTGTGGGTATGTACGATGGCCGTTGGTGATAGCTGCGTACATGTGCTTATGTTGCTCCGGACGGTCCGTAAGAATACCACAATCTTGTGCAGATACTCTGCTACCGCGTTTTGCTCCTGTCCAGAGTGAAGCAACTCATGGCAGGTAGCCGGCCATGCCCCGTCTACGGCTATTCCCTCCTGCGCTGGCTGCACTGTTACTCGTTTCTGTCAGGGTGTGTCTGCACAAATGCAACCTTCCATCCAGATATGAGTCCAGTGGATAGCGGATGATTGCATGTAACTCAAAGTGAAAGCACCGGAGAGCATCTGATTCAAGACAGGACGTGGAAGTGATGAAGCATTTGAAGATTAGGTGGTTCAAGAGCCACAGCATGAGTGATTTGGCTCAAACAAGTCTCACCAGAGGCAGTGAATAACTCTACGTAGAGCAACAAACTCGACTTAAACATTCACCCAACACCATCTTAAGGAGATATACATAAGCCGTAGTAGACACAACTCCCTACTGACTCAAAGACAAACGTCCTACGGCAGCCCCTAAGCATGCACGGAAACTTACGCATACGCCGACGGCCAGCGTCGGCCACCAGTGCCTTTGTCGAGATTTCAGAAGAGGTTGCGCTTGTCATCCACATAGAGAGCCTCCCGCAGCCGACGAAGCTGAGCCGAGCAGAAACCAGTCTCTGTCTTCAAGAGGAGACTATTGATGGAGATGTCGAACGCCAGACTGTACGCCAATACTCCTTTCAGGCGTAACATCATGTATTGTGGCTAATGGGGTAAACAGGTAGCAGATGGTCTCAGTGCCTCTATAGAAGGAGACTTCACATCGTACATGGACAATATATCACGATACCGACAATGCGACCTGTTCCTGCCTTGGGATTTCTGCAAGGGCTTTTTTGACGTCCCCGCCTTACAACCACCAGTCCGCCTCGCAAGGCTACCCCGTCGTAGTATACCTACCATCAAGGAAATACTATTCAGGGCAGGATGGAGTTACCAAACATCATTAGCCACGCGGAGAAAAGAGCCCAGAGTCACCGTCGTCCGATCTCACAACTTCCACAACTCGACAGTGGATGAGCAGAGCATCCAGAACTTGCACAGCGACCACAGGTGGCTAAGCATCCAGAAATGGCACAGCAGCAGCGGTATACAAGAGAGGAGAGGTATTGGATGATGGCTACTTGTGCTGATTCCTGAGGCTGCCTTTGTGATCGGAAAACGGGCCGTCTTAGGCGGCTTGATGACGCTCTTGTGGTGTTGGGATATGCATTGTCGAGTTGATGGATGAGGAAGGGAGAGTGATGTTATATGGATCGGCATAAAGGTAGAACCCAGGGCAAGAAGAATGATCGACTGTTCTCATCATGTAAATGACAATAAGCAACAGCTTTACCAATGAAAAGGACAAGCTTCGCCATTGCTATAAGAAAGCAATCACTTATGGCCCATCCGGTGTCGTCAAAGAAGTAGATCTAATCGTAAGCCAAACCCTTCGGTCAATATCGTCAATATCTATATCGCCTTCAAAATTCTATGTTCGGAATGCAAAAGTGTAACAGCATTCGGAAGCCACCCGGGACCAGCAAGGTAGCATCGTCAAGCCCAGGGACATTCTGACTCGGACAAGGACTTCTCCTCGCTCATGTAAAATCGAATCAACAATGGCAGATTCTGATGAGGAGCGGACAGAGTCGTCTCGTCGCATTACTCAGTGACCCAATGCTGTTGTTCGTTCAACAACCGGGACCCCGGATGCCTCCAACCCAGCAGATTTCCATCACAAACTCCCCAAACCACCACCCTCCAGCTCCCGTAAAGCCACTGACAGAATCTCTTTCAGAGAAGAAACTCCGAACCCCGTCGATATTCCCATTCCCTCTCGTATCCTATCATGCAGCGCATCTTTCCTCGCCGTAGTCAAGACTCTGAAGTTCGCAATAAGAGCCAAGAACTTCAAAGGGCAAAAAGCCGCCAATTATTCCACCAGTCAGATATCGCCAATCCCAGTCCTTCAAGTTAAACCTCTTATTAACACCATGACCTCAATGCAAATTCGCGGGGAAAAACCAAGCAGACCTTGAATAAAAAAAATTCATTCGTCCTCTCAGGCTCTCTTTTCTCGCCGATTCTCGAGCAGCAGCCCATCGCAGCCCTCTTTTTTGCTCTTCAAATCAACTTCTCCTGGCTGTAACCCCGTATCTTGTTCCGCTTCCCCGACCCTCCATCTTCTCTCAGTGTTGGTCAATCAAATCGCATCCCATCCCAGAAACTCACCAACTCATTCTCCAATCATCCTCATCACCAGCAAATCATCCCATCCAAACCCAGCATCGAAGACAACCCTTACCCTGGCCCCTTTTGCCTCCCCCAGTTCCATTTCACCAATTCATCAGCGAAACCATGCCTGAAAGCAACAGCCTCGACGCCCTCGCCCTCACCCTCTCAACCTCCCTGGCCACCGCAAACCTCGCCCCCGACGGCCCCGCGGAAGCCCTCATCCCCCCGGGCTTCAAGCCCACCACCCGCCTCTCCATCTCCTTTGGCGGCAAAAACGTCGACCTGGGCAACCTCTTTCGCGTCAACGAGGTCAAGCTCGCTCCGTTCGTCTCCTTTGAAGCCGAGGTCAGTTCAGTTTTCCCCATATCCAGTTGACACTTGTAACAAGATATCAACGAATGTTTCGTCCTTTCTCGTCACATCAAATTCGTGTGATATATATATATATCATGGGCTGCTCTGATATATATCAGCTCATGATATATATACCACACCCATGGATACATCAAAACCCAAAATACCAACAACGCAAGAAGAAACGAGTTGTTGAAGCAAAATTTCTTACATGGAACTGTATGTTTATATATCTATCTATATAGTCCGACGCCCCAGAAGACGCATCTTATATGCTCCTCCTCGTCGATCCCGACGCTCCCACGCCAGACGACCCCAAATTCGCCTTCTGGCGGCACTGGGTCCTCCCCGGCCTCAAGCCATTGGCCGGCGCCGACGGCGTCGTCGCCCAGACGAAGCCCGTCCTCACTGAATATCTCGCCCCCGGCCCCAAAGACGAGTAAGCCTTCTCTTTATTTACATATCACTACTACTTCTCCTCCTCCTTCCTCTCCATCCTCCTCACACACACCCCTCCCTGCGATTTGCCTGCCTGCCTACATCGTGACGGAAAATGTGTGTGCGCCTCTCTTGCTCCATTGCTCCGTTCTCCGTGAGGGGGTGCTGTGCAGTTTTATGTAGGGAAGTGGATTGTCTCTTGGGCCGTTGCCCCTATCATGTGGTATCCGGCTCTTCCCCTAGCCGAGAGCGAAATGATGCGGCTTTCATCCATTACCCCTACAGCATTTTTTTTTTCTTTTGGCAAACATCCTCCCCTGCCCCTTCACCTTTTCCCCTCTGGAAAGCATCCCAAACATTGTCCTACGGCAGAATTGTTACTAAGCGAGATATGTGGGAAAGATCTCAACCACACAGATACCTGTTCCTGCTCTTCCGTGAGCCCCATGGCCTAGCCTTGACAAAGGAGGACGTTGGAGGCGAGGAATTCGTGCAGAGACGCTCATTCGATGCTGTCAAGTTCGTCGAGAAGCATCAGCTGCAGCTGGTTGGTCTGAACTGGATGAGGGGCGCTGGGGACGGCTGGAAAGAATAGATTGGAAAACCGGCAGCGCCATCTTTTTCTTCTTCTGCTCCCTCTCACGCCCTCGCTGTCTCTCTTTTCCCCCATGTCCAATTCTGCCAGATAAGGCCCGCAGCATATGCGGCTGTGAGCCACAGTGACTGTCACGCGCCCTACAGCCCTTGCTACGAACCCCCTTGGTTGGCTCATGGTAACCCTTTCGTGATGACTGGACCAGACAGGCAGGACTGGGCCAGTGTGACTGTTATCGCCGTGCATGCTTCCCGCATCCATCACAGCACCGTAGGCCCAATCGCGGATGGCACAGGTGCGGGTATATGCAAGCAGCCTCTTGAGAAGTGCTCCGGAGGCCAAGAAGGGGGGCGGCCTCTCGCTGAGAGTCGACGACAGCTTCGCGTTACACGATGGATTCAAGTGGCCCGTAGCACAACCTCAAACCTAGCCTATCCCAGAAAACACTAACAATAGCCAGCAAGGGCGGGCGGGATGGCTCCAGGAAGTGGCTGAGACGGGACAGAATCTGGGCATCGTCAGTCAACCTGTGATTTTCAGCTTTGGTGGTGTTTTGCTCCAAAGAAGATGAGGGCCGGCCCGGCACGCCATCCGCTTTGCCACGGAAGGCTGATTGGCCAGTGTCATCCGGCAACAGCCTAGACTGCTTCTTCGTAAAGGTATGAGAGAGCTGTGTTGAAGATGTAATGGCAATCTCTGTGAGCCGCAATCTCTGTGAGTCCAGCGGGGTCATCCAGCAGTGCACTATACGTCTCAGCCATGGTATCCATGATCTCAGTCGAGCCAACACCAGTCGTCATTGACAACAGCAAGGCGACTCAGTAAGTCCCCATCAGAGCAAAAAGCGAAACCCAAGCTGCTGCCCGAGTTCTCTGAAACAATGCAAGTGGTTCCGCAGCATGAACTGGCCGCCGTCACGAGGGCCCGGCAAAAAGGATACTGTGCTTGTACGATTCTACCTGTGTATCATGATGGGGAAGGCTAGGGTTTGATAGGCGGAGCGACGACTAGGGCTGTGGTTTCGGTGAGAATCAATGACGACCCAAATCACGGCGCGCAGCTCGTGGTCTGGCTTGGCAACCTGGAAGTTGATGAGACGAGGTGGGCGGGAGGTGCCGATCAGCAGAGGCCGTGAGGACCGGTACGGCCTTGTTGGTCGTACCAAAGTCTGTGATTGGACATAAAGGAGAAGTAGTGGTTCGCACAATTTTGTCGATCCATCAGAGAGCTGGTGGGCGAGCCATCGTCGAAGGTAGGACTCAATCGTGACCGTGGCATTGCTCAGGAGAACTCTCGGCTCGTATGCAAATAGAACATCCAGCGACAGGGGCGACGGCGGAAAGCGAAAGTGAGCTACGGGAGCATCACGAACGTGCAGGTAAACCAGGCCAAAGAGTCACGACACCACCGCGGCAGTGGAGAGAGGCAACAAAGAGTCCATCTCGTCGTATGCTTGGCGGCTAGGCAGGCAGGCAGGCAACCGGTGTTGAGTGAGGCATAATCGAAGGCAGCGTCAGGCATCAAACAGCTGCGGATTTTCTCCCCCGTGATTTCTCAAAAAAGAAAAATTCCATAAAAAATAATTAAAAAAGAGGCACAAGGGAAGATGAAAAGGAAAGATTCAACACACCCCCGTGAAAAACTTTTGAGTTAATATGCGTTCGGAAAAGTGTTGTCCGGGGGGGGGTTTGATGTGCTCACAACCCCGTACACAGATGTGTGAGGCGTTGTCGTGCTGCTTGAATGGACTCCCTTTGAGAGTGACGCTGACTGCAGTACCGAGGCGAAATCTATCTCTGCCATGGCATCCGGGCCCGTTAGCTCTTTGAGGTGAGGCGGACACGATCCAAACGGGGCGAGCAGCTGAATCTCTTGACATCTCATGGCATGGCATGGCATGGCATGGCAAGGCGAGGCAAGGCAAGGCGAGGCACGGCAAGGCACCTCACGATTTCGGATGCAACTCCCTCCTGGCTGAGAAGCGCTTGTGACGCCGGGAATATGTGCGACGGGCTCAAGGTACACTGTGTACAGGCAGGGAGTTCAACTTCAAGTCGTCGGCGAGGGGCTTGCGAGTCACGCAGACTTTGGCGCGTCCAGGAAGCGGTTGGGGCGGGAATGGTGGAGTGGCAGCTTTGACGCATCCTGTTGGACGAGGGCGGACGATCCATGACATCAGGCGGGGCCGACGTCAAGCTCAATTTCCAATTTCTGGGAGATTGCCTGTCCGGGCAAGGCTCGTTTCCGAGAGCGTTGGATGAGGCACCAGGCCGATATGGACAGGGGTCGCGGAAGAGCCAGAGGCGCCTCATGGCTTCGCTGCTCGACTCCATCAGAGCCCTCCCAGGCCACGATGTGGGATCCATATCGTCCCTCAGGACTTCTGTCTCCCATCAATGTCAGTCCACACAAGCGTCTCCGCCCACCCCCCTTGAGGCCCCTTCTTCTTCATCATCACGGAAGCAGCGCGGCATGGATCGATGGGCCAGCATCGCCGGCTGCGACGCCGCGGTTGCCCGGTGTGCTCCGTCGCCCATTTGGCGTCGTGCAGAAGCGGAGGGGCAGCGAAAATTTGCCCGCTCGACGACGACGGAACCTTCGTTCAAGGTGTGTCTTCACCAGTGGGAGCTAAAGGTATATGCTGTAGTCGAGACGATGCAGTCCCTTCTGTCGCCTGTGCGGCTATCCGCCATCAACCCTTGGGCAGCAGATTAGTCAGGACTCAATCAGAGGAGACTGACACGAATGACGTCGGGGAGCTCGAAGCAGAAACCGCACAGACGCAGCCACAGGCGGATGTGCAAGTTTGCAGGTACTGTACCTAATCTCACCATGCAGAAGCATCACAACTGGCGAACGTTTGCTGGCGGGCACTTCGCGGCAATACTCGCACGCTTGGCGCCGATCGCTGCGAGGGCGTAATGGATGGCAGCTCATCTGTCCAACGGTCTTCTGCTCTTCAGCCAACAGCGAAGGCTCACCTTGTGCAGACAAGAAAAGAGGCCCTTCGGACAAGCTACTCTGCCGAGGGGGGATGGGTGAGAGATGGGAAAAATCGGAGTGGTGGAGACGCCCAGAGTTGAGGTGCTGACACCGGTGCAAGTACAGAGTACTCTGGCAACGGGTGACGGAGCTCTGGAGCGCTGTCTGGCATCCACTGCTGGTACCCGCCGGACAGTGCCCTTAGATCCACAACAGCACCGTACAGCATGGGCAACTCGTGGCCACCGCAGTCCGTGCGGAAGGAGGCTCGTCCGGAGGCAGCATGTGCCACGCGGGTGGCCCCCCCAGCAGCGCTGCCCGGTACCGAGTACTTCACCGAAACAGTGTGGGCGTCTCTGCTGGCACCCGTTAAGGGGTCTCTGCTATGGCGTCACCGGCATTGATCGTCTTTGTGCTGCAAATTGGCCAGTCCCCGCCACCGCGGCTTTGGCTGGCCTTGCCGGAGCGCCTCTTTTTTTTCCCTTTGGCTTTGGCTGAGGGCACCCGACCTCGGATTTTGATATCCGTTGTACGAGGCACGATGGACGAGCATCGTATGTGCGACAATGACTGATATGTGCCGAGTCCGGACCACGGAGTATCTGCTCCTCATTGTTTTATATCTCGGTTGGGCCAGACGGATACAGACCACATGATGTGTAAGACAGCTTCGCTGAGCAACTCCGTTATGCGCCGGATGGCAGAGCTTCGTATCGTAGGCCGGTTGACCAGATACCCAGGGCAGACATGGCAAAATTACTAATTGCGAAACCTGGAGATTCATCAGCTCCTTGTAGCATCGCAATGTCGCAGCGGTACGGAGCAGCATGAGCAGCAGCTGTCAAACTAGGAGTGGCCGGCGGCTCCGTCTACGCACATGTGTCCATCGAAGGTCATCGACTGATGTCCATCCATCAATGCATGGGCCGGGACTTGTACGGGTACAGTAATCGCCAGGTATTATCGCAGTCGACATGCAGCGTTCCGAAACGTTGACAGATGCGACATCAGCCCTTTTCGCTGTTCCTCTTCTTCGTTCTGCCCTTTTCCATCGTCAACTTCTTTCCACTAGCTTGCAGAAAAATGCCCACTCGCTCGGCCCCATGAGCTGCATGGCGCTATCGCAGCTGAAGCTCTGGAATTGCATCGCCAATGCCACTGTGCCGTCTAGATCCAAGTTAGTCAACGCCCTCGCGTGCTCTGTCTAGCGTGGGGAGTGCAAGTCAGAAACATTCGATCAGCAGAACTCGCGGCTCCGAAAGCGACCATCACCATATCGTGGGGAGGGGAAAGCAGCAGTGGATGGATGGAAAGAAAAAGAGACCCAGCTAAGGTAGCAGCATGCCAGGGGACAAGGATATCCCATGCTCAGACAGACATGTGTGTATCCGCCCGCGAAAAGCGAAAGGGGACATGACCGATCTGGCACTCCCTCACACCCTCGCCGTCCGTTTTGATGTCGCTGACCCTTTTATTTCCGTTTTGACTCCTCTTGTGCGTGGCCAGCCCCCCCAATCCAGCACGAGGTTGCAGCTTTTACGTGTACAACGAGAATGGGGGTTTTTGCAAAGGCACGCCTTATGCACGAGGAGCGCAGCAGAAAAAGGGCATGAGGCAGAAGTGACATGTGTACTCGAACTTTTGGCGCGGGTGGGCTGCTGGAGCGCACGTGTACCCAGTACCTGTCGACGGGTCCTCGCACGGGCGTTCTTGGCGGGAATTGCGAGAAGCCAACGGAGCAGGGGGACGGAGCGGACAGGGATACGGGCGGTACCGGGTACACCGCGCACACCTGCGCATACCAGCCCGTCCGGCGTCAGTGCGTGCATGCGTCGAAAAATGCGTGCTGGTACCGTGGCAACAATTGACGTTTCCGTGGCCGTTGCAAACGACGGTTTGGATGGGAATTCATGGGGTGATTCTGGCGGCTGCTACAGAATGCGGAATCCGGGGTCCAAAAATAAGTCGGGGGTCACGCATGAGGTAACCACCAACGGCGAGCCTGACGTAGGACAAAG